TCAGCCTCCTGGGTATCTAGGACTACAGGCACACACCACCACACATGGCTAATAATTTTTTTTGATTTTTTTTTGGTAGAGACAGGGTCTTGTTATGTTGCTGAAGCTGGTCTTGAACTCTTGACCTCAAGCAACCATCCCACCTTGGCCTACCAAAGTGCTGGAATTACAGGCGTGAGCCACTGTGCTGAGTCAGATGATAACTTCAAAGAGATTACAGTCCCAGTACTTGTTGAAAAACACCCATAATTGCCATTACTTAATGCAAACATTAGCAAAGTGTAATTAGTGCAGAGGATAGAGAGAATATGGGTTCATACAGTACTTAACTAATGGCCACTGAATTTTAGTTTGAGTGGGACCAAATTCTCCTAAGGGGGGAAAAAAATTAAATGCGAATGTTTTCTCCTCAGAAAATAATGAGAATAATTAAATGCATGTGTAAAGTTATAAATCAAAGGAGCAATGATCTTGGGTAGTACTAGGGTCAAAGAAATGGAGTAGGTTTATGATCTTCTTCCTCAATGAATAAACTTGGAATGATAGGAAGGAGCTCTGGGGAGGAGTTTGGGGGGAAAATGGAGGGAAGTTTGGGACTGGTTGGCTAGAAAGGAAAGATCTTTGAAGTTAGAACCAGGCTCTGATGATCACTTTCGTCAGTTTTTTCTTTCTGTTTTCTGTTAGGTAAAAATAGAAGCTGGGGTTAGGGGTTGAGTAGCTTTTAGAGTTTCAGCTGAATAAGATGAATGCTATAATTAAAATAATCTTTCACATCTTGATGATAACATTGGTGATAGGTTATTCCAGCCTCGTAATTTGGAATATGAAATAATAGAGACCTAGAAAGCTTAAGTGGCTTGCACAAGAACACAGATAATAAAGTGAGAAAACAGGACAGAATGACTAGTTCACCACTGTATCTATATTGCCTGGAACAACGCCTGTCACATAGCAGGAGCTCAATAAATATTTATTAAGTGAATGAATGAACCCAAGCCTTTTGATTTCTTGAAGCATTCTTTTCACTGCACCACAGGAACGATGACAGATTTAATAAAGAAAAAAAATGAATTTCTTTGAGCAAACAGGTCCTACAGTGTCAAAGGATAAAGACTGAAATGGTAAACTAAGGCAAGGTGGGCCAGTGCCATGGGAATAATACAGGATTGCAACAGAGAAAGAAGTAAAATTTATTATCTACTTTTTTTTTTTGAGTTGGAGTCTCACTCTGTCACCCAGACTGGAGTGCAGTGGCCACTCCCGGCCACCGCAGCCTCGACCTGTTGGGCTCTGGCGATCCTTCCACCTCAGCCTTCCAAGTAGCCGGAATTACAGGCATGCGCTACCACGCCCGGCTGATTTTTTGATTTATTGTAGAGATGAGGT